ATGTGTGTGTGTTTGTGTTTTAGTGTGTGTGTGTCTATGTGTGTGTGTTTACATATTGGTGTTTAAATGTATGTATGAGTGTGTCTTTGTTTTTGTACATATGGATATGTACATGTGTGTGTATATGTTTGTGTGTGTGTGTGTGTGTGTGTGTGTGTGTGTGTGTGTGTGTGTGTGTGTGTGTGTGTTCTTTCCTAATGCTGAAAGTCTTTTTCTTTTTGTGCAGATTGCTTCAAATGTTATTTCATAAATCTAACTTATAAGATGAGATTGGTGGATGTTTGATGAGAAAGAAGGAGCAGACCACATCAAAGCACCTGCCAACCACCCACTGTCACCATTTTGCTTCTGATCTTTAGTGAACCAAGAGGATGCCCTTTTCAGTCCGCTCTTTCATGCTATGCGCAATAAACTTTTGGCTTGAATGTGTCAGTGTAAATAAATCTCAAACAGCTTCACTCTGTTTACTTTTGCTGTATATTACAATTCATATTTATCTTTATTTCAACAGCTCTCACGCTGGTCCAGTTGTGTAAAAGCAATGACCCTGACACAGTTCGCTTTGCTCTCCAGTCACTGGAGGTTCTTGCGATCGAGAGCTCAGAACTCATTTGTGCCCAGGTCAGTCGCAACATTATGGAAAAAAGAAGGAACTTAAATTTTCGGCCAACTGTTCAGACGTTCTAAGCCCAAGATATTGCCCTTTTTTTGTTTGCAGTTTCTTTATTTATGGTATCAGTTACATGTGCTGGAGATATATTTTGTTTAGGCTTAAGTTCTAATCGCTAAAAAAGCGTGAAAAGATACATAGTGTAGACGTACAATTGTTTAAAAGATTGAAACAGTTTTTTTTTTCACTCTCATGAAAAAAATGTTGCTTTCTTGGCTTCGAACAGTGAAACAACTTACTAATGAAAGGTTTAACTGAGTTTTAAGATTGTGCTAACCGATCAGGTAGTTAATTTCACATCTCAGGTCAAAGTTTAGCCCTTCAGATTTTTGCATTGTGGTATTTTGATTTGGTTGTTCAATGCATGAAAGGTGTTAACTTGTTCCTTTTCAGCATTTCTTTTTGAAGAATTAAAAGCTTTACTCTAAAATTTGTTGCATGCCATACCACATTGTGGTTATTTATTTGAATTTCTGCTACAGAATAAGGTAGATACATTGGTTTAGACCTCCTAAAAATGAATTTCTAAGATAGGCAATGTCAATATCTTTGATATTGTTCCAGTGTAGTGATACAACGAGTATTCAGTCTCTTGTATCAGAAACATTCACCAGTCTGACTCGGACAACCCATGTCTATTTTCCTGTCATTTGCCCTTTTGTCTCTGCGTAAAAAGGTCAGCAAAACTTATGATTTTGTTGTATACACTAGCTGGGAATGCGATTTTTATAAAGTCTCTATTATATCTTTTTTAATGTGTTCTTTTCTAAATAGGAGGATTTGATTGGCCTATTGTTGGACTTACCTTTCCGATCTTTGGATGAGAAACTGTACCTGTTGGCTGGGAAGATCCTGCTCTACTTTGCTGAAAATAAGGAGGCAAGGAACATGTTTGTTTTGTTCATATTGTTGCTTTTAGTTGGAAGTTTCCAAATCTAGAGAGTAGAAATGGTCGTTTTTAAGCACGAAAGGCTTATCCCAAAAATGCTGTTTTGAGAAAACCAAAGGTAAAGTTCTTGGACCCTTGTTCAGTTTCTTTAGAAGACAAGGAGAGTTTTCTCGATAACTAAACAAATATACTCACCTATGAAACCAAACTTCTCCTATAGGTAGGGCAATGCCCACTTTTAGTGTAGGTCAAGATTTCTGGAGACCCCCGATATCTGGGTTAGCCGGCTTGTCCTTAAAAGCAACTAAATATCTCATTATTGTTAGTTGGAACTTTGTTTCTTAAATAGCAGTGTATGTCAGTTGGAAGTTTTCTAAATCACTGAGTAAAATGTTCACATTGTTGCTGTTATTTGGGAAGTTTCATAAAATACAGAAGAGATGTTTGTCTCTTTGTCCATGCCATGTAATATCCTGGGAATCTTCCTCGCTAAAAAAAAAATTACGGTGGACTACAGTGCAGATGACTGTGGTTCGAGTCTTATGTTGGGCATTTCATAATTTGGATTGTTTGGGGGCCTTTCCAGGATTCTCCATCTACAATGCCTTGTCTTCAGAGGTCAAATGTCTTTTATAACTTAATAGCAATGCACAGAACCGAATTAATACCCAACAGAAAACCTTGTACAGTATAAAATGAATAGCTCAAATTTGTTGGGGTCGGCCTCGGTAGTTTTTTGAGGGATCTGTAGTTCAAGGGATATCTTACAAAGATAAAGAAGAAGGAAAACCAGGACCGCAAGCACAGTTCGACGGATGTCTGATTTCAAGTTTTCCGTGTTCGACCTCTCAGTGTTATACTGTATTTCTTTTTAAATTTACCAGTGGACTCTGTCAAGTACAAGAGAAATCTGGCCAACTTTAACATTTGTATTAATAGCAGAAAGTATTATTTTGACCTATCATGAATGACACCATGACATCATGTGTGTGTTTTTTCCTTTACCAAAATTATCATCTTGTTTTCTAGACATGTGAGCAGCTGCTGACCTACCCTAGGGTCCAGGAAAGTCTGACTCTGTTTGCGAAGAGCCAGGACCCCATCTTACAGAAAGTGGTGATCAAAATCATCTTCTGCGCTTTGGACTTTCCAGATCTCAAGTAAGATCAGTGATAAATTAGGAGATTAATTAAGAAATTTTGTAAAAAAAAAAATTTTCTTTTTGGGGGGGGGGGGGGGGGGGGCTATTTTGAAGGGGAAAGGCCCAAGTTTTATTTTGGAAACAAGTGAGGGGCTGAGATACCAAACCCGCTATATCCATTTTAGCTCTTTTGAGAAAATCAGCTTCTTTTAATGCTGCTATACGCATGAAAATGCGTAAAAAGAAGATATTTTGGGGGCTTTTATGAAGTATGTGTTGGGTTTTGGCCGCAAAAACTATGTGCATCTGATTACCAGTAACAATGTGCATTTATTAGCAAAAATTTTTTTCGAAAATGTCTATAAGCAGGTTTTGCATCTCACACCCTCAAGTATTAATTTGTGATGGCATGATAAATCCTGCTCAATAGATGACCTGCTCTTCAAGCTGCTACTGCTACACGTATATTTCCATCTCTGCTCAGCAAAGTGTTTTCAGAAAAATCTTGCTGATTTTCAACTTTAGTTCTTGTATCTTCAGTGTACATTTGTAGGTGCTATGCATCCATAGCTATAATATATTGTTAATACAAACCCTTTCAAGAGAATGAGAGATTTGTGGAATTTAAGGAAGATTAACACATGTGAACATTTTTCATCATAATAACTTCTACACAATACAGTCTCAGCTCTTGTTTCCCATTCTATGATTCTGCCTCTTGTTTCCCTTTTCATTGCATGTTTCTGTTTTCCCTGTTTATCCTGTTCGTCATGTTGATAACATATAATGCCATACATATTAGACATATGGCATATTGCATTGTGTACACTGGAAGTCCAAACTTTTTTTTTTTTCGTGGGTGGTTGACAGGTGCTCTGGTGTGGTTTGCTTCTTCTTTCCTATCAAAGATTTGTCGTCCTTATCTCCCCTTTTTATTTTTTATGTTTGTTACTCTCTTGTAACACCTCTAATCTTCTGGCGCTCATATGACCTTATGCAGTTGCAAGGGCAGTAAAACCTCTACTAGAAATAAAAATAAAAATTGTTTCCACTAATAAGTCTAGCTGATGACAATTTGACAGACTTAAAAAAATTATAATGGTGGCACCCTTGAAAAGATAAACTCTTTATCTCAGGCATGCCACTCCCAGCGGCTCACGGTCGGAACTGCTGTGCCAGTGAGCCGCTAACAGCGGCTCAGGCACATTCCTTTACAGCTACTTTGACATCAAATTACTCTTTGTCATTTGCTGAAAACAGGTTTCTTTTACCGGAAGTTCATTCATTAGATGAAGTAGGCCTACTATCATACTAGGTTTACGAGTTTCGATTTAGTGACCCATTTAGTGACGTTTTCATCATTTTTAGATTTTGTACCAAAAAAGGGCCCCGGCGTAGTGGGTTTACCCCCCTCTGAGATAAACAGTTAAGAGGGTTTCTTGAAAAACATATTCCTTTTTGTTCAAGTATTTGGTGTTGTCAATGTTGATACTGAGGGAATTTCGAATATATGAGAAGTATGGCCTACAAGTACCAAAACGCACAGAAAAATCTCAAACCTTCAGTAGTAGAGTGAACAGCCCTGCAGAAAAAATAAGTTCATATTTCTTCTTGTTTAGGAGGTAGACTTAAAAATTGATCAAATTTGTGCTAAATTGTGTTGTGTTATATTGAAACACTGCCTTTTGTTTATCTTTTCTGCTTTTGTAATGCAATAATGGTATTTTACATTCTCCACCAGGCAAAAACTCAAGCGTATGGGCATGTCTGAGGTTCTGGAGTACGTGAGAGACCACGGCAGAGACAGAGAGACTTGGGATATGGCGGACCAATGTAAGCTGTGGCAGCACTCTGTAGAATATTTTATAATTTGTAAAGCTTGTTGTCAAAGTTACTTCTCGGATTTGATCCCAATGGGAATAGATACATCACATTTATAGATTGAGGTTTTACAATATATAAGTATGAAATAACAAAAGGCATGTTATACTTAAACAATATTGCCTCAATACAAAATCTACATATTTGACCCTAGTGTTGATTTTGGGCCAATGTCTCCATTTGTGGATTGGGAGAAGTAACTCATTTTGTTAGGCTCTCGGACTCGCAACCGTAAGGTCGTGGGTTCGAATCCCGTCAAGGGCCCGACGTTGTGTCCTTGGGAAAGGCACTTTACACAAATTTTCCTCACTTCACCCAGGTGGGAATGGGTACCCGGCTATAGACAGCGAAAGATCTTGTCAGTTTGTTAGTGTTTGAGCGCTTAATCAGCTCTCGCACTGTATGCTTCCCGGGAAGCTGAGAATGTTTCGGAGTGTTCTATGGTCTGCTGGGGTAATAATATAGTGTAAAGCGCATAGAGCATGCTGTTGAGCGGGGATATGCGCTATACAAATGCTATCTATTATTATTATTATTATTTATTGAAAAGGTGTTTTTATTCAAATTGTAAGCCTACCTCTGTTGAAAAGTCCATGTCACCAATGTTATAGAGACATTGCCTTTCTTATTTTTGACAAATTTTCCAGGAGAGACAAGAATATAAAAAGATATAACGTTTTGCTTTCTCTCTGTCATCAAACAGTGGTTCTGGATTTCAACATTGTAAACTTTTCTTTGTCTTGATGATTACAACATCATGCAGGTATAATTGTCTTGGACAGATGGCCATTTTGATTGATCTCCTGTTCGGATTTGTTTTTGTATTTTAATAGTTTTTTAAAATGTATTTATTCATATTCTTTTTTGTTTTTTACAGGCTTGCAGGCTCTCAACTCTGACAATGACCTCTCCGGGCTGTCTGCCTTGTCCACCCTGGAGAAGCTAAGCAAGATGGATCAAAAAGCTGATTCTTCCTTCAGCTCTCAGAGTTCTCTTGGAGAAGGGCGTCCAGGCCCCCCGGGGGGGGCCCCCCCCCCCCCCCCCTTTTTTAAAAGGGGGGAGGGGGAAAAAGGGGAAAAAATTTTTTTTTTTTAAAAAAATCTGCCCCGGGGGGGGGGGGGGGGCGGGGTTGTTACTGTCAAAAGAATCTCTACACAGTAGGAGAAGACAAAAGGAACAAATTTTTCTTCGTACCCTTTTTTTATTCTATAATATTTTTAAAGGCTTAATTCGTGTCAGGCTGTCAAAATGCACTGTATCTTTGCATCAGTATTTGCATTTGGTTTGGATGATGATCAGCTTTTCTTGAAATAGCTATCAGTGATCTGTCTTGATCAGCTGATACAAGAGGGAGAAAAAATTCTAAGTGTAAAATATACATAATGACTCAGTCATGACTAGGTGGTATTAGGCCCGAAGGAACAAGCAGCGTAAAGCATAAGATACTAATGCAAAAAAAAAAACTACTAACTCTTGCTAATTGATCAGAAACCTAAAGTGACATTATATATGTATCCTTGAAATACAAGTATAGTACATATATATGTTCTTATTTTACTCTCTGACGATGTTCAATCCTCCATATGCTCAGCCAACTTTAAAAAATTGAATAACTGTTTTTTGTATTAGTGACAACTATGTACCATACTCTAAATTACACAGCAGGTATTGTTTCTGTTGAAATATGTTGAGGAATATTGTATTTTAATGAGAAATTTCAACTTTTTTTGTATGGTGTTTTTTTAAGACAAATATAGATGATATTAGATACATTTTGAGAAATTCAATATCTTTGCTAAATCGAGACTTACCAGGTAGGCCTACCACTTAACACTGGCACCATGAGGTTTTAGCATTTCATACTAATTGATGTGGTTTTAGGAAGGATAAATACTAAAAAGACTTGTGTTTAAAATAGAAGCTGGATATGCTAGAAAGATTTCTGAACCTACCTTATACACTTTGATACAAAAGATAAAAGAATTGAAGATAGTTTCCGACACAAAACAAGAGAAACTTAAATATTATGACAGTGACATTCCTTGGACTTAACATTTTTATTTGCTGAGCTTGCCTCTTTTAAACTTGTGGCAGAAGCTGGAGTTTGAATGAATTACTTGTTATTAAAAATGTTACGGTTTCTTTTTCTTTTTGAAAAAGTTGAAATCTTAACCTGTAATTGTTAATTGTTAATATTTCCATTTTGGAGCTGGCTCCATTTGCATTTCTGATTTTGATGTCGTATCTAAGACAGAATGTTGACATGTTTCTTTGTGTTTCTATTTTTGCTTTGTTCAGATAGCAGTTGTGGCATTTATTCTTTATATTATTGGAACAATAATTCTTTCTTTCAGCACGCTTAATCCCACAGTTGGATAGCGTTGTATCCTTGTGAAGACTCTTTTCTCAGATATTTTTATTACAATGCTGTGCGGGGGTAAATGATACATTTTTAGAGAATACCGGTATACCTAAATTTGAAATTTTTGTTGGTGAGGTTACGGTTGAATAACACTTCATAATTATTTCTGTTATTTTCTGTTTTTCTAGATGTGTGTGCAAAATAAGCTTATGTATATCGTATCACTTTGTTTTGTTTTTGGTAGAGATCAATTGACTTGGATTTTGTCGTATGTTGTTTCTGAGTTATTCAGAGAATGTTCTGAAACATGTAGAAGAAGTAATATAAACACTCCATGCCGGACAATTATTTTTGTTAGATGATTTTATTACAAATTGGACGAAAAAACAAAAATTGCGTAACCTCAGACATTACCATTTCAAAATACTGATAAAATAAAAACTGTTGGGAGTAAATATATGCATTTGTGAGGCACGCTGACAAAATGAGTTACTTCTCGCATTCCACAGATGGAGATATTGGCCAAAAATCGACACTAGGGTCAAATTTGTAGATTTTCTATTGATGCCATATGCTCTAAGTATAAAAAGCCTTTTACTATTTCATACTTATAAATAGTAAAAACTTCAACTGTAAGCGTGGTATACTTATTTCCATAGGGCTCGAATCCAAGAAATTACTCATTTTGTCAGCACGCTCAACATTTTCTCTTTTTGTGAAAGCATTAAAATTCTTTCTTCCTTTTGTTGCATTAAAAAACTTATTATAGCTTTCTCAGTCTTTTTGTGGTTAACGATTCAATATACCCCAAAACTGTCAGGTTGCAATGGTTGTTGTGTGAAAAGTACCTCAAGCTCTAGTGAGTTAAAAATGAATTGCAACAACATAATTATAAACAAAAGCAGCCTACAGATACATTGATCTAACTTGACAAACACTAATAAGATATCTTTACATTGTAATAATAAATTCAAGTTTCTTTCCTTATGTTAGAAATGACAAGCTTATCATGGTCCTCTTATTCTGAACCTCAGAATGAAAGTTCTAACAGCAAGTAAGAACAGCAAGTTTAATAAATTGTAGTTAACACAGGCATTTACCATAAACATTTTTGTCTCACGGGGAAGATTTATTCGATAGCCTTGACAGCTGTTATAAAAACTCCTAAATATCAGAAACTGGAGATAATACATGATAGCACTTAACAAGTGAACTGTAGAACTGTTGCTTACAAAAATGATCAATGAATATCGGATGTCTTAACTACTTCTTAATGGGTTTCCAATTTAGTTTTTCTTTCTCAGAATATGTGACATGTCTGTCTACAGCGTCTGATCCATATTCCAAATCTGCTACTGTAGAAATTTCCTTTTTTTCTTTTCAGAGGTGTTAACTTATTACTAAAGAGATTTAAGTAATTTGCATTGTTGATCAAACCTTGAGCTACCCAAATACTTTAATTTTAGAAGCCAGAGTTTAATCATTTTTTCTCTTTTCTGTTGCTTTATTGTTGTTGAATTGCAATCAAAAGACTGTGTGTTTTAAAGTTCACTCACTGAGCTATATATATAGTTATTATGCTTAATTATTTATGATTGCTATTTGTGCTTAGACCCTGTTGTGCTAACTTTGTTATACTTAACTTGGGCATGGTATAAACAGTACATTACATTCATGACTTATTACTTTTTTGGATAAGTGAACTTGCTAGTATGATTAAGGATCAGAATACTCCGCCACCACAAGGACTATTTACTGATTTTTCCTTGAAATGTATGCATTTTTCAACACAATTGGTGGTTTTATCATCATGAAGTCTGGAAACGTTTTCCCAAAATATGCCCTACAACCAATGATTTTTATGTTCAGGAATTTTGTATGTTGGGTTCAAAATGAATTTTCTGTACTCACCTCATATTTGCAGTCTTTAAAATGTTCTTCAACTTCAACGGTTATTTTCCACTCAAATTGGATACTACAGTGTGAAGAAAAAACAACTTGTCTTTCTCACAGATTTAATCGCCCATCCGTCCTTGGTTTGCAATAATGTGATGTTCTCTTAGCCAGCAGCTTGTTTTATTTTCGCTGCTGAAGAAACCATACACTGTGATAAAAGAAAACCTCTTTGACTGAGGCATTTACAACTGAAACTGGACTTTTTTTAATGATGAACTTTTACTCATGCTTTTAAAATGATGTATTTTTACTAATTCAATAAAGTACTATATATTCAATTTTGTTGCACGATCTTGTATTATTTCATTGACCATGGAGAGAGAAGGATAATACACAGGAGAGATGCGAGGAAACTGAGACCCAAAGAGATAAACACAGACAGACAGGCAGACAGACAGACAGACAGACAGACAGACAGACAGACAGACAGACAGACAGACAGAAGTAGCGAAAGTAATAAGAACAGTAGGGGCCAGTAGAAAAGATAAATAAATTGAAAGTTAATAAAACAGACTGAAAACATGAGAGACAACATTAGCACAGCCCTGAAGAAACATTACTGATCCAATTAATTAGCTTTATGCATTATCTCAGTAAAGAGGAAGAAGACAATTAAGTAACTTGTTCCTGAGCACTACCATGCTAGACTTCTAAAAGCCAATCAACTTCTTTGTAGGGTCAATGTCTTTTCTCATCTTCTCTTGTATTTTTTACCCCATGTTTTGTTGTTTTGTGTGTGCGCGCGTATGTGTATGTGTGTGTGTGTGTGTGCATATGTGTGTGTGTGTGTGTGTGTGTGTGTGCATATATATATGTGTGTGTGTGTGTGTGTGTG